ATGGATACATGTATATTGTACGCGTGTGTGCTCCCTTTTTCGAGCTGGTGAGCTAGTAATTTATTTTCAGGAAATATTGCTGGACACCCTGAACATTTTACTATTACTGGTTAGTCGGTGGGTCGTGGGGAATACACATTTTCCCCTGAAAATACACATTTTCATGTTTCCCAATACTCATTTCAGTTTTCTGTGGTTGGCATCTCTGGAGAGAGGTGTTGGTGAAAGAAGCACTTTCATAGCGGTATTTAGGGGGGAAAAAATATTTGAAAAAATCTCCCCTCCATTTATACCTCTCCTCCCCTCCTGTCACTTAGATGTTACGTCAATGTGCAGTGTGTTTTTCTTATGCAGCACTATAATGGGTTGGGGTGAGGACGGTGGGTAAATTCGCTTGGATTGTTTTTATTTCATTGAATAGCAGGCAGTGACATCAAAGTGTATAGGCCTGAGAGTTAATCTCCTTGGGTTAGTCGGTAAATTAGGTTACTTTTAAAGTTATGTGTCGGGCAGATGTACTAGTACTTGTTCTTAGCGTCTTTTTAAAAAATACTCTTTTTGCTCAAGTTAATCATTTAGAGGACTTTATGTGTGTGTAGTATGTAGTGAGTCATGACACCAGGAAAGAGCTTTTGTTTTTGCTCTGAATTAAATGTTCCCTACGAAAGTATTTATTATGTTTGTACATAGTATTTGAATAAATGGAACTGAAGCGCAAAATAAAATAATAAAAATAAACAGATGCATCAAAGAAAAAACAAAACTAAAAAGAGAATCCAGAGGAGAGGCTGATGCAAATAAGGCCCCTTTCGAAGATCCATACTCCCCCCTTCTACACATTTAGCTGATTAGATTGCCTCCCTTGAAGTTCATCCTGCCCTGTGACAAGTAAGAGCGTTTAACTCTATTTAGTAGCGTTCCTTAGCTCAAGTGCTCGAGTAGTATCAAGCCTTGCATCGAGCGTGCAGTAGAGTATCGAGCAGTGCACAGCACTAGTTTATGCCCAATGTGGAACCTTATATAATGAGTACCTGGGGTGTCTATCCATTACAGACTTTTGATATTGCAATGATACATTGTAACACCCTAACATTTCTTTTAAGAAGTTAATAAGACCAAGTGAACAATTTTTTTCATTGTGATCTCTCTTTCGTAGATGCAAATGTTCTTTCAATTACAAAAAGTTTTTGGGAATTCAATCGTTCACCTTTATGTGTTGTCGTTTAGATCAATCTGCGTCTGCTTTTAGTAATGGTGTTTGAATTGTCTGGATAAGTCTCGAACTACAGTGTGACACAAAACTTTTTTCCAGGTGTTGTCATGTCTTGCAAGTCTTCTAAGGGTGATTGATACGAGCACTTGGTTGGAACCTTCCACTGAGCATGTGTACAAAGCCATATTGCTTTTCATATCTCACAGCAAGCCAAAGGTAAGTGTTTGATCTTTGCTCTCTGTTTGAATGTTTTATTGTGTTGTTGAGAATTGCATTTTCAAGCTAGACTGAGAAAAGAAGCTTGTTTTGTGGTAAAGACGTGAAATTGCCTTTGCTCCCTTGTTTTGTACCCACTGAAGAACCCTGCTTGTTCCAGACTGTGGTCTCTGTTTTTTTTTGTTAACTAATGAAATAAATCGCGGGTAATGTGCTGAACCCGAAAATTATGACAAATTTATTTACTGCTCTTTCTCAATCTGTAATATTGGTTGCATTTGCTCAAGAAATATTTTGTTGCAATTCAAATTAAGAATTAGAAAAAAGCAACACAAAATAAGTTTTGTTGGTATAACTGTTAAAAGAACGACAGTTTTTTTCTCTCTCCTGTTAAAGTGTGGTTTCTTGGCTTAGTTCTTTTGAGCAGCTGCCGATGAAATGTCCTCTTCTACTAATAGAAAAACTACTGTAACATTTTTATGTGATGTTTAGACACTTTGAATTCCATAAATACATTTTAAAATATACTTTTATTATGTGTCATTGTCTTATGACCATACTTTTTGTCTTTGCATTTGCAGCTTCGTAAAGCAGCCCAGACTGCTGTTAAAGTCGTGCTGCGTGGCAGTTTGATGATGCAGCAGGAAGAGTCGTCCCGTCCTCCCTATCACCCAGCAGCTCCGGTCACTGCTCAGTGGTGCATTGACACTATTGAGTCTGCCAGAGGTTAGTACGTTCTCACGCTTGGTGTCTCCACGATTCTTTTTTCTTTTGGTCCCTGATCCTAAACAGATGTGGGCGGTCATGGTTCACTATATGTTTCTCTGCCACCACGCTTACCTCCTCTTAACAAAGAACTCTGTTTTTGTGCGAGTTGTGAGTTTTCTGTACCGAAAGTTACTTCTTTGATGTAGAATGTAGGGATGTCAGTCTTGTGCAATGTGATAAGCTTGCTTGATGCTTGAAGACTTTATATCGTGGAATTGCTTGATGCTTGAAGACTTTATATTGTGGAAAGATCTCGGGACATATGGTGATTAAGGCCACACTGGGGAGATTATTTTTAGATTTATATTTCTGCTTCAGTAAAGAGTTATTATATTGTTATTGTTAAGTTGCAATTATTTGTTGATGTTCTACCAATGACAAAAACATGGTGGCAAATTCTGTGTATGTTTTATCAACTTTTTAAAACATTGGATGAGGTTGACAATGAGATGCTGTGGCTGTGGAAAATATTTTTAAAAAATCCTTGGCTGTACTGGACCAATGTACACCATTCGGACAGTATGTATCAAAGTGCTATCATGGGTTAAAATCTGCTCTGAAGTACAAGGGTCGTTGCAATTCCAGGGCTGCCCATCATTACAAATTTTCGTAAACGTTCGATTTTTTGGCTTTAAAAAAAAAAAATACAACCGGATTCTGGTTTTTAAAAATGTATTTGCCTTTTGACTACCCCAACCCATCCCCACCCTCCTAGTGTATAATATAAGGAAGAAAAATAATCAGACCCTGATGGTCAAGCTAAGTCACCACATCCCATGCAGCTTTCAAACCTTTAATGCCCTCTGTGCACTGAACCCTAGTAGTTGTTCATTGCCCCGTTGACCTTAGAAAAACGTTAGTTGTGTTAAAACCTGGAGTAAGGCAAACATTGGTTTGACAAGATTTTTAAAAATTCCTTTGTTTCTGTTTAATAGTTTATTCTTAAACCTACAACCCCGTCCTTAACACTCCCTTTGGTGTGAACATTGAAGACTATCCATGGTCATATTTTGAATTTTAAGGCCAGATTAATAATTTTTACTTAATTATTAAAACATATGCCGGTGGTCGGGCAGTTCTGCAATTCTGGCTGAATATTTCTAGTATAAAACAAGACTGATTACTGTACCTATATTATTTTCTTTGTTAATTTCTCAACTTGAAAAACACCTTATTGGATCAAATGCCCATGCTACACAGGTGCTATGCGTGATGACAATAGTACTTTGTGTTAAATGAACAATGTGGGCTTTTTTTTTTTACGACAGTAAAAAATTTTCAAAGGAGAATCATAATGTTATATGATTTCTGTCAGATATGGGGTTTAGTAGTCAATAATCTTTTAATGATAAAAGTCAAATAGTTGTTTTTAGGAGTCCTGTCTCTAAAGGTCTGAGAGATGATAGTGGGGACATAAAATCTAAGAAACAGTAACCTGTTATAATTATTTGGGCCATTTCATTTTCTGCCCTTCTCAAGTGGAGACAAACATTGGACGATTGAGCCTGTAAAACTGTAAAAATCTGGACAAGAAGGCTTTTCAATTTTCAATTCATACAAAGAATTAGATTTTGAAATGGCTTAAAACATTTTTTATAGTAAGTTCAAAACAATGCTGCTACATGGCAAGAAATATTTTTCATTTCAACCCCTCTTTAGGCCAATCCAACAGAGTGGACATTCTGCACACCTTGTCCATGATGAAGGACTTGCTCAGTGTTTTCCCCCACAAGCAAGTCAAGTCTGGCTGTGAAGTGCTTCTCAAGTTGATGACTTTGACTGATCCGGTAAAGACATAACTTATGTTATATATGTTATTGTGTGCTGGTCACTTTTGTCTCTTTTCTTGTCTTAAAATATTGAGGCCAGAGGTTCAAGTTGGAGTGAGAAATGAGTGAAATGGTACAGGTTCAACACTGTTTGGTAATTTATGAGGTGGCACTCTTAAGATCATCTTACACCCAATTCAAACCATGGCCACCTCAGTGTAGGTCAGCTGGTGTTTATATTATGAATGATGGCAGAGTGATCCAGTACTGCTGAGAGATGTTGAATGAGCTTATTAATTGACAAGGATAGTGGAGAAGAAGCTTTTGAAAGTAGTGCCTAATCTAGTAATATATATGCTCGTGGAATAAAATGAGATTGTCTTTCAGATGATAGTGACAGGAATTAAAGTTAGATGTTGTTTCCTCAAAGACACTTTGTGTGGGAGATAGATCTATACCTGTGAGAGGGTTGGGTGGTCACTAGTGGTAAAAGAGAGCGTGGTCCTGCGATTGGTCAATGTATACGTGCAATGGAAAGGGTTCTGAGAGCAAAAACTAATTAGCTGTAGACTGAGGAATTCTCACAGATTATCCTAAAATCCTTAAGTAGCATTTTCACTGGTAAAATACAAATTTTAGCTTGGAAGTTCCAATAATTACTTGGGATGGGGAATCTACTCCTGTCAAATGTACTTGGTAGGAAATGGGTTAATGCTATGTGCAGGGAGTTGGGAAGACCATCACTCTGGAAATAATTATTTTAATGAAAGAATTTGAGTGCTATGTACTATTTTTTTTCTCTAAGCTGCATGATGTATGGGAATAATGATAACATGTATCTTCCCTAAGCTGAGAACTCAGCTCACACTTTTATATTTTGATGAAAGTTCAGATAATTGATTACACTGTGTTTCTGGCTGTTTCAGGTGGTGCGCTCGTCATGTCTGGAAGTCATGTATAGATTGTTTGTAGCAAAACCCAGTGCGAAAATAGTGCCAGGAGAAATGAATGCTCAGATCATCATGGTAAGTCTTTTGGTTAAAATAGTATGTTGTACTATGATTTGACACTAATGTTGGAATGAAATGCATATACGATGTCTTCCTAGCATACTTGATAATAATAATAATAATAACTGCTTTTATATAATGCATATCCATGCTCTACTGCCTGCTCGATGAGCTTTACAATTATTACTTCACAGGGGAAGGGTGACATGAGTATGAATGGTCTACTGTTCTCACCGTTCCACCAAAAAAGGAAGCTTCTTTCTTTTTGACGGGTTGCTATTTCTGTCTCATTAGATCTCTGGTGGTGTGGTAGCATAATTTCCCTGCCCATACTAGCTTGTGTCATTTTCCTGCTCACTTTCATGCCTGTCTATCGAATGAGGGTCTGGTTTTGAAGAAACTCCTTGAGACCTTCCAGGGTGGGACTGGACTCTGAAACAACATGCATGTGATGGATAGTTTGAATACCTGCAGAAGCAGAACCGGTTATTTCAGTCGCATGTTTATGATTTTTATGTTTTTGTTGTTTTTAAATTTCCTTTTGCCTGAGTTGGGTTTCGTTAATCTGTGGATGTTAGTGACAAATTATGAATATTTAGTGGTTACTTGATACAAGCCCAAGAGCTTGTGTCAGCAGGAATAATTTTTTATGTTGGTTATGACATCTTGAATCAATTAGCATTTTGATTCATTTGCATAAGGTGGGCTGATATTGATTTTTTGAACTGGCAATGCAATGGTAGGTTAATTTTTTTTAATCCCCCCTAGGGAAACTTCCTTTTATGACCGTTCATAAATTTGATAACAAGGATTAAAGAGACTTTAGGTTTCAGTTTGCTCAAATTATTCTTGCTCTTTAAAACAGGAAGGGACCCAGAAGATACATAATAAACAGCCATCACATGTGGCACACTGATGAATATTCTTGAGAAGTTGAGAATGCTGTAGAACTATAGAATGGATATGAAGACTGAAGTGGTCTCATGACTTTAGTTTATTATCTGACATTTTAAAAAATTATTTATTTTTTGGAAGGTGGGGAGGAGGGAGTAGCTGTTACAGTGTACTGTTGAGTTGTTTTGTTACTGTTGGGTTTCTCATTTAAAAGTCCATGTGATCATCCATTTCCAAGTATCCATGTTGTGTGGAATAAAGGCTATTTAGTGAAGCAAACTTAATATTCATAACTTTTGAAGGCTTATTTTAAAAAATTTAATTTGAGCAGCTACATGGGGGGCATTGACGTCTGTAGGTCTTCCTATAAGTTTGCTTTCTCTGGCACTCTGACAAAAATACTGTCACACAACAAATGTCACCTTTTTAATGAGACAGTTGGGAGTACTTATGAATAATAAAAGACTAAAGTTTGTGTTTCAAACGGAATTTATAATTTTTAAAAATGAGTTCCTGTAAAAACATTAACCAATAAAACAATTCTAGGATTGCTGTGTTAAATTGAAAGTTGTAAAACACCTATATCTGTACTGTTGTGGGTGGGTTTTATAGAAATGATCTGCATTATTGATATTAGCAGAGGTGTCAAAATCCATCTTTCACTGCTCTTAAAGATTTTTATTCTAGTCAGTATTTGATGTGGGTGGTTGGAGGGTGCCACTGGTTGGTCTTGCTTCTTTACCTTCTGTCTGTCTTGCTTGCTTTTTTCCCCGCACTAAATGACTATTATTGTGTTCATGTGCTCTCGTTACTCAGTCAAACAATCAGTATATAAAGCCACAATGGACTGAGGTAAATTTGAAAGCTCATTTACAGGGGCGCCTGATTTATGGGTTCATCATATTTCATTTCTTGAGGCTTGATATTGTAGTCACCTTCGGACTTGAGGTAGTGACTTACTGGAAATGGCCTGCTTTACCTATTTGTCAGAGGTATTATATTTTATTATGAAAGAGCACTAGGTTGTATTATTTTTAGTTTTAAGGATTAAGTGATCCACTGCTTCTATATCAAACTTATTCTGGTTTATGAAAAGTGTGGAATAAATTTCCTTGCAGTTTATTAAATTTTTGTGTGCCTTCACTATGAATTGCAGGCTTTGTATGACCACCAGCCATCTGAGAAAGACAGCCAACCCATGGGAGCCTGGCTCAGGGTCATGGAAGCTGCCGCTTGCAATCTAGCCAGGTAACAGTTGGCAAAATTTGTACAATTAACAAGTAGTTAAAAATGTTTTAGATGGCGGGTAATGGCTGATAAGATGTAAGCATTTTGAATTTAAGTTTTTAAAGATAAATGGTGTCTTTGAAGATGTTTCATCTCAATTCAGCTTGTACCTGTGGGCCTCCCTTGACCTTGATCTTGACCATCAATGATTTATCCTGTGGGCCTCCCTTGTTTATTTGGTAATGAAATAATGACCTGTTGGTGATACTGGCATCTGAAGGAAGATGAACTTCTCTAAAAGAAAAGCAACCCTATGTGTGTGAGTGTCCAAATAAATACTTTTTTTTGGTGTTAGTGTGTGGAATTCATTGCTCGCCAATCATTGTCCCTTTACCTTCTTCCAGGCAGAGTATGGTAAACAGTTCAGAAAAGTTATTGCACTCAACTCAAATGGGTTCTTAGTCAGAGTTTCAGATTTAGATAGGCTCTTAGGCATGCAAATTACGGGCAAAAAAATTCTGTGACGTGGTTAAAGAGGGTATTTAGACGGGTTGGGTTCTTAAGCAGGGTGTTTTAGGTGGGGACCACTATAATATGTTTATGCTAGTTTTATGGAATAACAGTAATGTTCTACTCTGGGGTATTTTCAAATTCATGGTAGGGTCCAACAAGACTGGTAAGTTTTGTCTCATAAGGAGGAACATGCAAATAATAAGTCTGTATATTTTACTCTCTTCATGCAGTGATAGAAGTTTTAAAAAATTATTTATTGTCCCCAGAGTTGACACCAACCTGTGTGTGAGTCACGTGCCTCGACTGTTCTCTGTCTGCATAACCTGTTTGTTGTCAGATCGCGAGGAAGTGGCCAAAGCAGCTGTACAGACGATGAAGGTGATGTATATATATATAAACCTTTGATGAAAAAATTACGGTTTTGATTGATTAAAAAAAAATTAATTTGCGTACCTTTCTTAAGAGACACTGCAAGAATTCAGATCAAGTGCTCGTTAAAACAAGCGATTGAAGTTACATTTTGGCTGCATAATAGCTTTCAAAGTAATTATTCTTTTATGCCTTCCCAAAAATGGATCCGCGAAAGGTAATTATTGATGGCATTAAGTTTGCTGCTTTTAGACAAGTTGCAAGCCTCTCTCTCCACACCTTTCTCCACGTGCATGATGCTGACTGCCAACCACTCTGTGATCAAAAGTAGACGTTTAACTCGGAATCCTCCATTGTTAAAGGAGAAGTCAGTTCACGCAGACTTTTGGTTTAAGGCCCCCAGAAGAAGGGCAAGTATTTTTTTGGATCATTTGGTCATCTGAATATACATTTATCGACCATCCTCAAGAAAAAAATTCCTTCTGGTTTTATTGTTTTTAAAAAATGTTTTACAGGCTCTCTTGCATCAGTGTGTTGAGCCCTTTGGAGAAAACTTAACAAAAGACTCCGCTAGCAATCAAGCTATGACTTCGCTGCAGAAAATCGTGAAAACTCTGGAAACTGGCCTCAGCTATCAATTCCATTCTGTGTGGTCGCTTGTCCTTCAGCTGTGGTCCTCTGCATTTTTGGTAAGTGACATGTATTTAAATGACCCTTGAATGCTTATCGAAAGTGTTATGCTCTTAACCGTGTAAATGATTTCTTGAATATTCTTTAACAGGCAGGGAAGATGCTTCTAATTTAATTGATAAGACAAGACACAAGTTATAACATAGTATTTTTATACCAATTACTATGCTCATTGACCTCACCAATGGGTGTAGAACAAAAAGAGTTGACCTGTTGCTTCCAGTTACACAGTTTGGGCATAACAATATCCTCATGTGTATTTTTATAGCTTACATTTTTAGAAATGCAAAAATTTATAATCATGGCGGGGGCTCTCGTGGATTAGAGGTTAAGGTATTCGCCTCTCATTCAATAGGTCGCGGGTTGGAATCTGGATAGTGACCTAAAATTTCCTCCTTTCACATCCTGTCCTGCTTTCTGAAAATATTCTGTCGTCTGCTTTCGTCTCCACTTTCTGCCTCCCCCTCCGGGCCTCTAACTCTTTCTGAAGCCTTTCTACTGATACTCCATGCCTCCCTCTTTCTGCTGTCTTTCAGTCACACCCCTGATCTTATGGTAGGTGAGATCTACGCCTGGACTTCTTGGATAAGGGTGAAAAATGACGGATGTCGCGTGTGCAAGTTGCACATGTTAAAGATTCCCTGGTGGTCCAAAGTAGGCTTCGGCCGCCACCGGGCATTGAGGACTGGGGTGTCTGTGGACTGCTTGCCCACCCTGAGAGGGGGCCATGCACGTTGAGGGTACAAGGGTTTTCATGAGGCTGGAAAGACCTAACTGCCCTGTGACCGTGTAATTCCGGTAGGGTTCACTTTGCCCATTCCCCGCCACCAATGACTACTGGCTATAGTTGTCTACTCTTGCATGAGGTTTCGGCCAAGTGAGAAAGCCATTGGATCGTCACGTCCTGGGTCGTTGTGCCTTTACTAAGAGGTCCACTGTCAGAAGGCAAGTCAGGCACTCCACTCGATCCATCCTTGCATCCAGACCTCCCCAGACTGGCTGGTTCCTTCTCAGCCACAGAGGGTGTGTTGATAAAGAGCAGTAGGGATGTTAGGCAGATTAGACACCCACTCAAGGGAGAGTAGGGTTAGTGAGGAACATAGCGTCTACCACACATCGGTGGGTTATGCCTCCTGCACCTTGTGGGGCCACACCTGCTCCCATCCTGTTGTTTTAACTCCTCTAGGAAATGGGGGGGTTGGTTTGTTGGCGCCAACAACTCGCCAGAGCCGTGTCTGTGGAAACAGGGACTACCACGGGCAGGTACGGTTGGCTGGATTGGGAGAAGCTGTTTGAGACGCTTAAGCATTTCTCAATATTTAAATGAGACCCATCACCAGTCCGTGATCCCCTAATAATTGGAAAAAATTTTCAAAATTTTGCCACCAGTTGAAGAAATGTTAATGTGTCCCGCAGGCTCATACGACCGTATGCAGTTGCGGACGCTGTAAAACACTAACCCCCGAAAAATAATTAATAAAAAATAAAATCATAACTTGGGTACCAGTTTCTTTTGATAAGAATGTTAATAAATGAGGAAGCCATTCTGTACCAGTACAACAAGAAGAAATTAATATTGACATTGACCGAAAAGTTGGATCTGACTTATCCACGGATAATGGCTGATGTAGTCTTGACCTGGAAGTGGATCCCAGCAAGCGATGTTTGTTGAAAGGATGTCTGAACAGGGAACTGCTCCGGTTGCTAAAGATTTAGATTGAATTTCCACATCTAAAACAAAATAATGAGGACCGTATTTCTACTCAATGAAAGACATGAAAGGAAACATTTTTTTCCAAATTTTATTTTATTTTGGATTTCAACTAACTTCACAAGTTAATCGTTGCCAATTCATGCGATATAGTGTTCCAAAGTTTTATGTTTTGGGGCCGTGTCTATGACTTTATCCGAGATTCTATGGGACTTGTTGTTCATGGGGTATTAGCTACGGCAAGTTGCGTCAGACTAATGAAGACTTGACCCAAAGCTTGCTGGATGCTCTGGACGATAGTTTTGCTAAAGCATTTGACATTACAGGTTGATGCGCAGACAGACATTCGGCTTGTGCAGACAAGCTGGTTGAGGGTGTGTTTATTTTTGGCCTCACAGTCCGTTTTGGAGGTCACGCAATTGTTGAGACACGTGGACTGGCATTCGCAGGTCGGTCGGCAGATACTCTTGCATGTGGCCTTAAAGGTATCACAGCTGAGCAAGGGGTTCACGTCAATGCAGAAGGCACCTAAGGTGTCACACATCATGCTACAGCCATCTCCACAGACTGAGCTGCCTGAGGCCTGATCCTGAGCTAGGACAGCTCCGACCAGAAGAGCAGTGCAGAGAAACACAGTGGCTGTGGATGGGGAAAGAGGGAATGAGTTTGGTTTCGCATAATGAAGTTTTTGGCTTCTCATCAACCTTGATTTATGTGCAAGAGGGAAAAGAAATGGATTCAAACATGATGAGACATTGGGTCACACCACAGGTTCTATTTCTATTTTATAATTTATTTGAGATCCACTGTTCTTCTTCTTTGTGTTCACCTGCTAGATATCAGGGGTAGTCAACTGCTGGTTCTTCAACCTGCAGTACAACTGATTTGTACATATCTGACCAATTTTCCTACTTCATAGGGCTCCTTGCCTTGAGACAGCTACATTCCGAATTCAAAGGCACTCTGTATGTTTTTTTAAATAGGACTAGAGTATTTTCTGTTTTGGTTGGAATTTTGCTCGGATGGTGGCCGAAGTCAACTCTTGTTTTTATAACCACCAAGGGATCTATTAATGTGCAGTGCGCAACTTGCACACAGGACCTACGAGATTTTTTACCATTATCTGAGAAGGCTTGGGATTCAATATTACTTTCCAAAGATCAGGTGCGTGGCTGAAAGACAGCAGTAAGAAGGAACCGGGAGTAGCAGTAGATACAGTCGGGAGTAAGGAGGGGAGGAGCAACCCGTGGGGGGGGGGGGGGGGAGAGAAGAATGCAGATGACATGACAGGTCTAGAGAACAAGACGAGGTGAAATGAGATTATTATTTTTTTTTTTGTAAAAAAAAATTTTGTTGGGTTGCTGTCCGGTTTCGATTTTGGGACATTTTGAATGAGAGGGGAAGACCGTACCTCAAGACCTCGAGAGCTCCCGCACATTCATTTGATAAAAACAAACTTCGTAGTCTCTATACACTACAGTGAGGGTCCTTTGGGTTTTAACTGTTCCCTGTGCTGTCTGTCCAATTTATGTTCCTTGAATATGGCTCACAAAGTTTTTGTTAATTTTTAATATAAGTGGCATTGTCAGAAACAGTCACTTTTTCTTTGTCTATTTGGGTTTAATTATCGCATCTGACACATTTTTAGTGTTGATGCAGAGTAAGTAAAGATGGTGGAGGGCAGTAAAATAATCTTCTGTTCAAATTAATCGACATAGTCCGGCAAGAACTTGTTAATTGCATTAGTGCGAATGTCACCCACAGGTGGTTTCTGTTGAATTTGTTAATACAGTAGGTTTTTTTTTGTCATTTAAGTTTGAAAATTACCATAGCTGTGTTTGCATGCTAGTGTTTATTAAGTTTTCAGAAAAGAATCATATTATACTGTGTATTGTCATGTTCCAGGCATGCAGGGAGGGAGGGAGGGGATAGAAAGATAACTTAGTAGAAGCAGAACCCTCTCTAATGATGTGTTATAAAAAGATTGAACGACTGAGATGGGATGTTCCAATTTTGTCTAATTCAGCAAGTGTCTTGCTTACCGTCGCCCCCTCTGTTAAATGCAGAATCATAATATCATGTCTGGCCAAGATTACAACTTTTGTACTTGGAATTAAAATAGGTGATTGGCCAATGAATGAAATGGTGTTTCAGAAATAAAGTTATCAAATAATGGTCGGTTCTGATTTCGTCACAGTAGTTCCAATTTTATCTTTTGCTGATTGCAATTTTGATGCATGCCTTTGAATTTGGTGTAGAAATCCAGGGTGGAGTACAGTGGTACTGTTGAGGCTCTTTTTTCTTGGGGGGGGGGATGTGTTTAGTATCAAGGTGATCATCTTGTGTTTAATTTTTCAAGTTTATTTCCTATATTTTCAAATCCCCAAGTTGTTTAGCTGATAACAATTGCAATATTGTCAAACCTGTCCATAATGGTCACTCAGGATCACAGAGAGAGGGACCATTGTAGACATGTGGTCTCTATGGACAGGGTCGCATGTTGACCCATCCCACCACTAAATGAGTTTGCTCTAACAACCCTATTTCTGAAACTTACAAACCAAATGCCTTTCCGTCCCGACTGCCTGTGCTGCTAACTCTTTTTTTTGGGTTTTTTTTTGAATCCGGTGTCCTTCCTTACTTCTTGCAATATCACATTAACTTTTTACTCATTGCATATGCATGTACGCCACAGTGGCTGTCATTTGGTAAACACAAATTTTGTTTTTTCTCATCATTTTGGTCTCAAAAAGCAATGTCGGACTAAAATTATGTACCCACTTTTCCAAACCATGCAGAAGATGGTAGTTTCATTGCCAAGGGAGAATTTTTATCGAGTATGTCCATCTCTCTACTTGGATGTTGTATCCCTTTCAGCTCAGGTTGGCCTGACAGGCAGGGTTGAAGAAGCCAACCTTCAAAATAATCTAAACTGAGTTGACGAGGGTATAAATCTTGTGCAATTACAATTGTGTAATTACATGGTGGAATCAGGCGTCAAGTTTTTGGGCATATTTGGTTTTGGTATAATCTTAAAACGTGTTTATCTATCTTGGTTTAAAAAAACAACAAAAAAACACCCATCTCTCTTAAATAGAAGTCAAGATATGTAATTGATGGAGGTGGGGTTCATTTGGTTTCAGATGTAATATTAAAAAGAAAATAGCCGTCTACGTTTAGTGACTTCCAAAGCTGTAGTGCTCACAATAATTTGTAAATCACCGTTGTACAGAGCAATTACTTATGAAAGATTTCTTACAATGGAACTGTTTTTGGTTGTCGGCTTAG